TTCTCTATAAATTTCTCAAGGCTGAACTTATTTATTTTGTGATCTTTAATATAAAATATTATTGATGTATTATTATATTAGCCTCACTTCAATCATTACTGCGCATATATGAAAAATACACTGAGTTATTGAGTCTCTTGTACCAGTAAGCGTGACAGCTCGTTCTGTAGATTGTGGCAAAACATCTGAGGCAACTTGTATCTGAGCANTGTGGCAAAACATCTGAGGCAACTTGTATCTGAGCACCAGTTGCTTCTCGGATTTCTTTTATCTTATTACCACCTTTTCCGATTAAAGAACCGCACTGAGATGCCGGAACTATTAACCTTAGAGTCATACCACACTTTCCTATAATACTGGAACTGGTTTTTCCATTTTGCATTTCAATAAACTAAAAATTATTTATAATCTATTAATATAGTTATATACATATGTTGAATAGCCATAGGGCACCCCAATTTTAATGCTTTATAACAAAGTATCATAAAACGTTAATCAATGCCTAAAAAATAAACTATAATATAAAAATAATAATTATAAAAAACAAAACTACTGCCTTATAAAACAAATCTTAGAGAGGGTGTGTTATTGATTATCCCTAGTGACTAATAATACTAATGATAAACTAAAGATTGTACCATTGAAAAAAATCACCAAGATCAGCATATTAAGTTCTGAACAAAATCGCCGAAAACTAATCTGTTTATATCTATATAATTTACATAGTATCTTAATGACTATGATCGGATTTTGCGATTAATAGTTTGATAAAAATTTACAATGAGCTGTGTTGAATGAATAGTTTGAAACTTTTTAATCCCTGCCCAAACCTTAAAATTATAAATTAATTAAATTGATCATAAAAGCATACTTTTTGTTTGTATAAGTTCGAACAATATTTTGCTCAGTTAAGATTTGATAAAAATTACGTAATTTTTTCTAGATTTTCATTTAATGACTTAGTTTTTTTTGTTAGGAAGATAAAAATATATACAAACTAACTCGTTAATCAGAATCTACTCAATTAATTACAAAACTAAAATAATTTAAGGAATATTTTTTTTGGTTTGTTTTAAACAAATCAATAATATATTTCAAAAACAAATTTGTTCATTAGTAGAAAATTTCGTTATAATTGATTTAATAATTTATTCTATTGAACAATTAGTAGATGATTTTGAAAAATGTGAAGTCACTGAGTGACTCAGGGGTTCTTAAGGCAAAAAAAAATGTGTTGAAATTAAAATGATAAAAATGTCGTAAAAGCAGATGAAAAATTGGGCATGACCTTTAGTTGAGATATAGCACACTTAAAACAAAAAAATTTACATAAGATAGAGAACAAAATAATTTTAAATTATTAAGTAATATTTCTTTGAACTAAAAAAAAAACCCAGCACAGTGGGGTGGCGGCACAGTGTTGACGTGGCATAGTTGGAACAAGTATAATGATATCTGACAGTGATTAAAATCACTATCATAAAAAACGCTTCAATGCAAATCTGTAGATAGTGTTTAATTTAAAAAAAAAAAAATTTGTCAAAAAATTAGGTCAAATGAGAGCTGAGAAAATAAATGATAGCTACAAAAAAAAACCACATAGTAAAATAATATTTATAATGAATTTCTTCTCACGAGAGGAGACTACAGTAATAGGATCCTTGATATTTATTGAAGTTATTGAATCTGAATAAGATAAAAATAAAATGAGTTAAACATTTTATTCTAACTCAAAAAGAATTAAGAAAAAATTCAGTGCTACAGGCATGAAAGACTCAAGTGTTACCGTCTCAGAAACCGTACGTCTCATTCGTCACTTAATAAAAATGGAAATTTAGCTAATTCAAATTTTAAAGTTATTTTTCTCGACTTCAAAAAAACAAAAAAATTTAAATATGTCTAATTTTTTATACTATGTCAATTAGATTGATTGAAAATCAGTGTAATCCCCTTATAATAAAATAAAATACAAACCAAACATTTTAACACAAAAATAGCATATTTTTGAATACGGTAGCTATTTTTAGCGTGAAGACAAAATAAAGTCCAAAATTTTTTTTTTTTCATAATAAAGTATATTACATTAGCTTTAATTTAAGATATATATAAGAGTGTCAGTTTTTCCGGAACACTTTCAAAAGTTAAGTTGAAAAAGTTAATAGTTGAAAGAAGCCTCTATAAAGTTTGAAAGAAATCGGTTTGGTGAGAGCTGAGAAAAAGTGGTATCAGACACAAAAAAAAAAAAATAAATAAATAAAAAAAAACCTAGTACAGGGGAGTCGCGATACAGTAGTGACGTGGCATAGTTGGAACAAGTATAATGATATCTGTCAGTGATTAAAATCACTATCAAAAATAAACGCTTCGATGCAAATCTTTAGATAGTGTTTAATTTTAAAAAAATTGGTGTTTTATTCCAAAAGCTACTTGATCTGCTGGTTCCTTATTAATATCTCGATTAAGATAAAGTATGTCGAATGAAAAAGGGTTTATTAAAAAATATTATTTCTCATAAAAAAATTGTGTGGATCCATAAACTTTTCAATAAGTTATAGCATTATAAAGTTAAAAATGTAAAAAATAAAATCGAGAATTTTCACACGAAAGTAGCATTTGGTAGCCATTTTTACCGTAAAAACAAAATAAAATTCGAAATTTTTTTTTTTAATATTAAAGTATATTACATAAGCTTCAATTTAATATACATATAAAAGTGTCAGACCTTCCGGAACACTTTCAAAAGTTAAGTTGAAAAAGTTCTACTTTCTATATTCATTTTTTATATTTGAAGCCCCCCAAATATAGGGAAATAGTCTGATTTAAAAAAAAAGTATATTCAATAAAAGATGTATATAAATACTACTTCTCATGAAAAAATTGTATTGATCCATACATTTTTTAAAAAGTTATAGCACTTTAAAGTAAAAAATGTAAATTATAAAATCGAAAATTTTCACACAAAAATAGCATTCGGTAGCCGTTTTCACCATGAAGACAAGTCCAGAGGTCAAATTTTTTTTTTTCAAATTAAAGTACATTACATTAGCTTTAATTTAAGATATATATAAAAGTGTCAGACCTTCCGGAACACTTTCAAAAGTTAAGTTGAAAAAGTTCTACTTTCTATATTCATTTTTTATATTTGAAGCCCCCCAAATATAGGGAAATAGTCTGATTTAAAAAAAAAGTATATCCAATGAAAGATGTATATAAATACTACTTCTCATGAAAAAATTGTATTGATCCATACATTTTTTAAAAAGTTATAGCACTTTAAAGTAAAAAATGTAAATTATAAAATCGAGAAATTTCACACAAATATAGCATTCGGTAGCCGTTTTCACCATGAAGACAAGTCCAGAGGTCAAATTTTTTTTTTTCAAATTAAAGTACATTACATTAGCTTTAATTTAAGATATATATAAAAGTGTCAGACCTATATAAAAGTGTCAGACCTTCCGGAACATTTTCAAAAGTTAAGTTGAAAAAGTTGTCATTTTAAATCCCCTCCTGTGGGCCGAAAAAAGGTCAAATTTACAAAAAAAATATACCAAATGATAGGAAAAGACATCAAGCATCTATAAAAAAAAATTATACTGATATGNGGTAAAGACATCAAGCATCTATATAAAAAAAAATTATATTGATATGTTCATTTTTGAAAAAGTTACGGCAGTTTTTAGTAAAAAAAATTGAAAAAATTTCGAAAATTAGCGATTTTTAAATTTGTAATTTTTTTGGAGGTTTCCTCATTTTCGGGGAACGAGGGAAATTTTTTCAATTTTTGAGGGTAATATCTTCGACTAAATACGATTTGTGATCTTTTGACGTATCATTGAAAGAAATCGGTTCAGTGAGAGCTGAGAAAAAGTGGTAACAGACACAAAAATTAATAAAAACTAATAAAAAAAAAATATATATCATAGTAAAACCAATACCTTCTCAGCTTCGCATCGAAGCTAAAAATAAAAAGCACCAAAATTGGCAAGAAGATGAATTTCAATTTTGTTAACATGTTAACACGTGTTGATTTATTAAAGGAATAGTTCATTAGGTGGATATATATTTATTTTATAATTGAATCAAAGTCATTACTTAATATTTAAATATACTGATTAATGTATTTATTTTACATTTTATTTGATTCATTGTTCAATGATTACGAAATTTTTGTAACACCACTTAATAGAAAATTTTGGCAACGTTTTTATGAACTCCATTCACGACTAACTACTAGTGCTTTTGTAGCGAATTTTAACCAATATAAGTGTGATTCTAATGCTATCTAACAGATACTTACTGGTGGGATTCAAAAAAACGTCGCCGAAGCTTCTTATTACAGGATCTTTCAATTTGTATTATTACTTTTTATGTATTTAGTAAAAAATATATACTACTA